GACGTCCAACCAATAACCTAACCTAACCAACGTCTTCACATTCCTCCCGGGGTCGTCATTATTTAGTGGGTTGTTCTCGCCTGGTCAACGTGGCGGCGACTCTCCTGGGATTACTTAAAACTCTGCCTTGTTCGTCCTGTCCTGTAATGAGCTAGGGTGTCTAATCATCAGGTGAAATAAGCTAAGGTGTCTAATCATCAGGTGAAACTAGGGTGTCCAATCTTCAGGTGATTCCGAATTTTCACGCGTAAATATTAAGAAAAATACAGACTCCATTTTATGATACAGTCACTACAATAGGATGACTGTACCTGTACTTTATACCTGTATTATTATTCATACTTGTAATTTATGTATGTTTAAGTAATGTTTGTATTATGATGTTGGGAGGGTCAGAGAGGTGACCTTTGACACTGCACTCGTCACCTGGTTGACCTTTCACTTGACACCCCTGTGACCTCTGACCGTCATTGAGTTTCACCTCCCCCCCCCCTCCCGTGCTTAAAGTTTACACCCACCTCCTCTTCCTCCTCCAATATCCCCCTCCTTCTCCAGTATCCCCCTCCTCCAATATCCTCCTCCTCCAACACCCTCAGTTTTTTACACCTACTTCTTCTACCAACCACGCCCCTCCCACGCTCATCACCTACACCCCATCCTCGTCCATTATCTACAGTACGCCCCCTCCCACGCCCAAATACTTCGGGGGCGTTAGTGACGACGCCAACGGTTGATAACGAGCTGAATCAGCAGTTTCCCTCGTTAATTTCACGTAATGTTGCCTTCGGTGTAATTGAAAGATCTGAATCGCTTTTCTCTGTAACTTGGTGTGTGTGTGTTAACGTGTTCTTCGTATGTGCGTGAGTGTGCAAGCGCGTCCTAGCGTTCGTTTGGATGTACCGAGATGACAAGTTATAAAACACACACACACACACACACACACACACACACACAGGAGCCAGAACGTCGTCAAGACAAGCCATAAAAATATAATAATACGCCTAATCCAGTAACGAGACGAGTTTGCACGGCAAGCAATAACCCCTCCGATTTTATCTCCTTATTTAACCTCCTCCCTTGCCTACACTGAGCTCTCCCATCACCTTACACACAGCCCAATTTTGTGTAGAAAGTTATCTCAAAGTCGCCCATCTGGTATATGTTGTTTAGCTCGTTTTTTCTCACCGTTTTCTTTGGTGCTTTAACATAGAAAACGACTCAAGTTTTAGGGGTACCTCGTAAAGTTTACCTCCACTCTCCTCCTCTTGGGTTTATTAGTATTTTTCTCTCACATGATAAACGGGTGGTAGTGACTTGGGGATAAGATTGCGCGTGTGTGTGTGTGTGTGTGTGTGTGTGTGCAGCTGTGAAATAACTGTGTAAAGTCTCCACCGGGTGTTTTGTCAAGCCGGGTAACTCTGTAAATTCGGTTAAATGTGGTTGATAATAGCGTTTGGTTGAGGTGTTTTTGTCGTTGTATCATTTAAGCTGCTCTTTCTCCGCGCCGCCTCTCGACCTCATATCTCTTCCCGTTATGTAATTTTTGCGCGTGTCATAATTTGTGTGTTGATGGAGTGGGGTTGACCTTTAACCTCCTCCCGCGACAACGAACGACGACAAAAAACAAACAAAATCTCTCTCTCTCTCTCTCTCTCTCTCTCTCTCTCTCTCTCTCTCTCTGTTATTTTTTTCCTGCACTCTGACCTTTAAAACTGAAATATGGTACATAAGCGTGTAACTGTTTACTGTAACCATAGTACAGTACTGTACTTTATACACAAGTAAATGTTTGTATACTGTACCTAAACCTGAAACTGTACCATATTTGTAATGAACTTTCTGGATCTGGGGCTCAGAACTTGTTATTATGTGGAAGGAAGCAGAAATTGACAGGTGGCCGACCCAGAGATGCACAGCTGCCGTTATGTCATGATGAGAAAGACCGCGTAGTGGATGTTATTTGCACCAAAACAGGATTTTACATTGTGTAGGGGCATTTTGAGGTGTGGTGGTGATGGCTGTTGTTTTTATTGTGTGTGTGTGTGTGTGTGTGTGTGTGTGTCGTGGGGTGAAACACTTAGTAAGTGGTGTGGGTTGAGAATTTTGTGTTTATGGTTTGACTCTCTCTCTCTCTCTCTCTCTCTCTCTCTCTCTCTCTCTCTCTCTCTCTCTCTCTCTCTCTCTCACAGCATCACACATCACTACCCTCCGCTGTAGAGAAAGGTCTTGTTTGGGTAACCATTCTCACCGGTATTGTTATTATTATTCAATTACCAGCCTGGACAGTGGGCTCCCTTGGTCTACCTCAGTGACCAGGCAGGAGGACTCGACTCTCAGTTACCCGTGTGGAGGCATTTCTCTCACCCTTCCCATTCTCTTCCCCCTTTTTTCCTTCCCTTCCACCTCCCTTCCCCTTAGCTGGTGATGTGAGAAGGGTATCTGACGGAATTCACTTTAGCTACGACAAAAAGATGAATTTTCAAGAGATCCCTGGGTTAAAATTTTCATCCATCTTGACAGGTGATGTGAGAAAGCCCCATCTGATTGACGTCCATAAAAGAGAATGTTCAAAGATTTGTGTTATGAATTATATATTGACATTACTCTTTTATCTTTGGGATGTGTGGTATGTAGCTGACGGACTCGACTTGTATCAGTGACACATGATAAAGTTTCTCTCAGTAAGTTGATTCGGAAATTCCCATCTTTTTTTCCAAATCCCCTTTTACCCACATCATCCCTCCATCCCCACATCCCTCCTTCCCCCACATCCCTCCTTCCCCACATCTCTCCTTCCCCACACCTCCTTTCCCAAATTGTTCTTATGCCACTCACTACCTCCACCCACCCCACCAATCTTCAGGTGAAATAAGTTGGGTTGTCTAATCTTCAGGTGGTCCGTGGAATTTTAACTATGTTGTAACTGCGCTGAGGTGACCCTCAGGGGTGTGTGTGCGCGCGCGCTCTCGTTTCCCAGTTATGAGGAAAATTAACCTGAGAAGGGGGGGTCCAGGTGGTCAGCTGACATCACCTGGTGTGCTGAGTTGATTGGAGTTTCTCAGACTTTGTTTACTGCTCTGGCTCGAAGGGAGAAGGGAAGGGAGGGGTGGGGATGGAAGGGAAATAGGAGCCTGTGAAAAAGGAAAAGGTGTGGTGTAGGGGATGAGAGAGAGAGAGAGAGAGTGTTGTTTTGTGAAAAGAGGTGGAAAGGGGAAGTAGGAGAAGAGAAAGAGAGAAGGGAGAGGGAGGGCGAAAAGAAGCAAGAGGGAGGAGAGGCTTTTCGTTTTAATGAATTTAAATCGCTCTACTTGAGATGCACCTCCAGGGGGCAACAGCAGCGGGATAATGTGACTCGCCGCCTTCATCGTTGTCTCGTGTGTGTGTGTGTGTGTGTGTGTGTGTGTGTGTGACAAATTGAACATCGTGAGGTTAATTCTCTCAACCATTAGGTCATAAATCAAATAAATATCTTATGTTTTCCTCATTATTGCACCAGACTCATTGTATCAGTCAGCCTCAGGGCGTGGTATCAGGTTATCAGCGTCACTGTAACAAATATCGTCACTCTAACGCCTCGCCTTCGAACCAGATTACCGTCACGTTGCGTCACACCGTTACATCCTCGTTAGTGACTGCGTGACGATGTTTTGTGCCTCCCACTCGGTGCCTGTGTCTGCCTTCACTGCAGTGCTGTTATATACTTCATGTTTATGGTCTGTCGCAAAGTTATACAGTGTGTCGGGAGATCGCTTGAGCATGGCTGGTGGTGCGAGGAGGTGCTGGTGGTGGGAGGGGTGTCGGTGGTGGTGCTGATGGTGCAGTGGGAGGTGCTGATAATGGCGGGGGTGCTGGTGCTAGTGTCGGGGGAAGGGGCTGATGGTGTCATGGAGGTGCTTATGGTTGTGCTGGTGATAGGAGGAAGGGGCTGATGGTGTCATGGGAGGTGCTGGCGGTGGTGCTGGTGATGCGTGGTAGCGGGGACTGAAATAAAGTTTAAACGACAAAATAAAACAGGAGAATATTCAGGTGATAAATGACTTTAAAGTTAGATTAGAAATATGATAGAATAGTTAACTAGGAAATGACTTGTGGTGAGACAGATTAAAAGGAATGATGGTAGTTTGATTCTATTTATAGCTGTGATATGTTGTATGGAGAGAGAGCCGCTGTATAGGGATGGGGCAACCTAGCTTGACTTGCCCTTCCTGTTTATAGATGTTCCAGGTATGTGTCAGCAAATTCGTAGTAATACCCACCCAAGCTACGTTTTCTCTCATCCATCCAGTTCCGTTTTCTACGGCCCCAAATTCATCGGATACTCTTATATTCTTGTATTTTAATATGCAGTGTGTATTCAAATTTATACATCTTTAGTTGTTAAGGTATTTTTATATAGTTAGATGATTACTGTGGTGGTGAGAAGCCTTCTGGCACTGACAACTTAACAGAGTGTAAACACGAGGTTGTGGTGCCAAGCGTGGGTGAGTCAGGGTGGCGGGCCTTCCTGGAATTCCCTGCGCGTCACCAACCTTCTCCCATTCATAAACTTGTGTCCATACACCCTGTACCCGCGTGGCGCCAGCCCTGTCGTGCGTGTTCCCAAGAGGAGGAGGAAGAAGTCTGGTAGTCTAGTCACAACCATTCCTCCTTGTGTTGTGTTGGTGTTAACTCTTCCTGCCGCCCCCGTGTGTTTCACCTGTTGAGATAATTACAGGTGGACGGTAATTTAGATATTGATTTCTTTACGCGGTTGGACAAGACAGTGGATATTTTCTTTGTTATATCCAAAAAGGTTTTAATTTACAGTGTCACTATGGAAGAACTCGGCAGGTGATCTTTTTATTGGTATATAATTTAAGGGTGCTATTGTTTGTAATATTTGTGGGGAAATAATCGTTTTCTGTGATTCATAATAAGCTTTTGTTTGTGTCGTGTATCTATGGTGTTTGTTAATAAGCTTTTGTTTGTGTCGTGTATTTATGATGTTTGTTTGGTTGCAGATCTGACTCCAGACGAGCAGCAGCTCCTTCTGGACATCAGAAGAAAGAAGGCTCAGTTATTACAAGAGATACAGGTAAGTCACATTATTTACTGCTAATTAAGGAACCATTACCTGTGCAGATAAAAGGTAAGGTGATACAATACTTTATATTGATCATTATTATATGTGTATTCATTATTATTTTTTAAGATTAATAGGCTTGTAGTCCATCATTGAATTTATTGATTTTTGTGCGTTAAATAAGGAATATACGATTTAGTAGAGTATCCCAGAGGGTTTGGGTTACGTTTTCTCTCATCCCATACTACAACACTCAAAGAAAATGGTGTTAAGTCTGGGCTAACTTCGCCGCCTTACAAGAGATGGTTTCCACGTCAATATTGGTGGTGAAAGTCGCAGAGAAACAGTAATAATCAAGTCTAACTCACACTTTTGAAATCACAGTAACCGGGATTATAGTTATATTAAGCATGAAGATCTCTAAATAAAAAAAAATAGAAGTATACAGAAATGACACCAGGACATGTCTTCAACTCAAATAGTCAGGGTAATACTTGAATTATCCAACGTGATTCAGTTTTTATGACTAGTGGACAAGGGTCAAGATCGAAGTCAGGGTCACAGCTAAGTTCCTGACGGTGTTGTTGAGATCCTGACGGTGAAAATGGCCTTGTAGCGTCCAGAGGGGGAAACTATCACGAGGCGAATCTATATACTGTGTGTCTTTGTTTGTATACCTGCACTGTTTACATACATTTCAAACCTACTGTGACGAGGTGGTGTTTTGTAGTGGCCTGGGGCGTCTTGTAGTGGTCGAGGGAATCTTGTAGTGGCCGCGAGACTCCTGTAGAAGCCGTGAGACTCATATAATGGCCGCGGGACTCATGTAGTGGCCGCTGGATCACTTCCCTAATTGTCCCAGGTGTGTCTGGTTTATGTCTCTCTTCCTGCTGACGGTCCTCTTGGCTAATGTCACAGTCGAGAGGTTTAGGCTGCCCGGGTCATGCTCTTAGGAGTGGCTGGAGAGAGTGTCCTCGTATAAATCAGTGAACAATCAATAAACATAAAAACGTAAGTGACACTTAATTTATAAATCAATATACCTGAACTACACGACCGTCGAGGGAGCCAACAGTTATTGATATTCGTTCTTTAGGTGTTTGTTGGTGTGCTGTGTTGCCTAGTTACTGGTTATACACGCTCGGTACACAGTGTTTACTTCTACCCAGAGCGGCCTCCTTCAGTATGATCACCAGTGTTATGGGTGGCACTGGGGTCTATTACACTGATGTCATTAGGTGTTTTAAGCTTTGTGGTGCATCAGTAACTTCATCACCACAGCGCCAGTATAAAAGTGTGTGTGTGTCCGTCCCTCCAGCTTTCCGACGGTATACCGCAGCTTACTGTGGCAGTCTCTCCGGGGGATTCATTATTCATTTTTCTGCTTACGATTGTCGTCCACCAGGGGGAAGGGACGGAGGGAGGAACCAGCCCACAACACCTTTTCATAAATTCTCGCTCAGTATCGTTCACCTGCGGCTGGCTATCCTAGGCTGGGCCGATCACGGACGAACCTTTCTGGGAGGGTGGGGTGAGGAGGGTAGCGGGTGGCGGTGTTGTGACGGTGGACGGTTATGTGCTGTTTTATCACATTAATATACATCACAGGTAAAGGGTTAGTCCTCTCACCCCGTCCACCGACACACCTCATGAGTTGGCCGCCTGACGAATGGATTACCTCCGGGTGGGTACAGCTGGGAGGGGAGGAGGTAGTGGAGGTGCTGCCAGGTGAGGTGTTAGGCACTTGGGGAAGGAGGGAGGGGGTGGGAGGGAGGGAAGCGCTTTTATGATGCACTCGCTGCTTGATCAACATCTCTCTGCTTCCACCCACCAGCCGTTCTGTTGGCGGAGGTGTGGTGATAGTGCTACTGGTTCTGACGGAGGTGTGGTGTTGGTGATAGTGGTAGATGATGGGGATACAGGAGGTGGTACTGGTAGTGGTGGTGAAAGAAACACACACACACACACACACACACACACACACACACACACACACACACACACGAAAATACATATAAAAAAAGCACATCAACGGAATACAAAAACAAAAGTTGTCATGGTATAAAAAAGTATTTCATGGTAACTGGCGATTTGACTGTCAGGCGAGTAATTGGAGGTAACTTTTATAATTAAGGCGAGGAAGGCAGCCGGCGGGGCGAGCTAGACAATTTAATTATGAAACGAGGTGAAACAGTTAAGAGTTACAGGAGGGAGAAGTGGGCGTGTGGGTGTGTTGGTTACATACATGCATACATACATACATACATACATACATACATACATACATTAATACATACAAAAAAGGTAGAATATTATTGACCTTACAGAAATGTGTGTGTGTGTGTGTGTGTGGTGGATAGACTCGTGGGAAGGGGAGGGGGAGGGGGAGGGGGGTGGTGTAATGGCGTTGACCCTTCTGAGTGATTTTAAACGCCACTAAACCACCAACGGCAACGTCCTTTCCCCCCTCTTCCACCTCCCTCTCTCCCAAGACCCCTCCTCTTCCCCTTCCACCGACATCACTTCCTCTTCCACGACCCCTCCACTTCCTCTTTTTCTTACCTCTTCCACCACGATCTCTCCACTACCCTTACGAGGAGCTGTGGCGTATGGTCCTGAATGCTTGTGGAAGATGATATGTCCGCGGGAACTGAAGATTTGGCAAAGATTTCAAGCGTACGACCTTGAAATTTTGCGTCGATGTTAGATGGTGTATGTGTGTGGTGGGGTGTTTGTGTGTGGGGTGTTTGTGTGTGGGGAGGGGGGGGTGTTTGTGTGTGTGTGTGTGGGGAGGGGAGGGGGTGTTTGTGTGTGGGGGAGGGAGGGGGTGTTTGTGTGTGGGGGAGGGGGTGTTTGTGTGTGGGAGGGAGGGGGGGTGTTTGTGTGTGGGAGGGAGGTGTTTGTGTGTGGGGAGGGAGGGTGTTTGTGTGTGGGGAGGGAGGGGTGTTGTGTGTGGGGAGGGAGGGGTGTTTGTGTGGGAAGGGAGGGGGTGTTTGTGTGTGGGAGGAGGGGTGTTTGTGTGTGGGGAGGAGGGGGTGTTTGTGTGTGGGGAGGAGGGAGGGGGTGTTTGTGTGTGGGGGAAGTGTTTGTGTGTGGGGAGGTGTTTGTGTGTGGGAGGGAGGTGTTTGTGTGTGGGGAGGGAGGGTGTTTGTGTTGTGTAGGGAGGGGGTGTTTGTGTGGGGGAGGAGGGGGTGTTTGTGTGTGGGGAGGGAGGGGTGTTTGTGTGTGTGGGGGAGGGAGGGAGGGAGGGTGTTTGTGTGTGTGGGAGAGGGAGGGGTGTTTGTGTGTGGGGAGGAGGGGGTGTTTGTGTGTGTTTGTGTGTGGGGGAGGGAGGGGGTGTTGTGTGTGTGTTAACGGAAACCAACGTCAATGTCGCAGTAATTCAGCCTCTTATCATGACACAGCATCTCAGGATTTGTGCACATATGTGAACCTCGCCGCCCTCCTTTGCCGCCCCTCCCCCATACTGCCCCTCTCTCTCTGCCGCCCACCCATGCTGCCCCTCCTCTATCGCCTTGCCCTTTGCCGCCCGCCCCACATGCTGCCCCTCTCTCTCTCTGCCGCCCGTGCCCCTTGCCCGCCCCGCCCTCTTCTTTCCCCTAAACATAACCCCTTCCTTCTTTCTTATTTCCATATTCCTCCCTTCCTTCCCTCGTTTCTCGTTCCTTCCTTCCGTTCCCTTCCTTTCTTATTCCCTTCATGCCCTCCCACTCCCATCCCTCCCTCCCCACCCACCACCAACCGTCCCTCCTCCTGGCTGGCTGTCTTGGTTCACATCCTCCCGGCGGACAGTCGCCCTAATTACTTTACACACACCACTGACTTGTTTAATTGTGTACGCCAATGTCCCATCCTCCTGGTTCAATGATTTTGGATATTTATTTGTCTTCTTTTTAAAATTAGTAAGTCACGTTAAGCTAGATGAGTGTCGAGGAGAGATAATGGGCGGGGTGAGAGGTGGTGAGGGGTTTAGGGGGGGTCAAAGGGGGGGTAGTGAGGGGTATAGAGGGACGGGTGGTGGGTGGTATGGTGGTGGCAGCAGCTGGTCGTCCCCGGACTCTTGTTCACATCGCCCCAGTGTTGTGTTGTCCTGAGGGTGACAGTTGTCTCCCTGTCTAGTTACCCCTCGCACGGCCTCCTCCCACCACCCTCTTGCTCCTGCTGCTCCTCCTTCTGTTCCTGCTGCTCCTGGCGGTGGTGGTGGTGGTGGCCGTTCAGTCTCGTTCCCTTAGTGTAGTGAGGAGTGTTCTGGTGTGTGAGGTAACTTAAGTGTTCAGTGGTTCTTTGCGTCGTTTATGAACAGCTGAAATATGACCCATGCTTAAAATGTGTCCTGGGTTCTGTTGCTGTGGTAGGCGTACAAGAGCCGCTGTGGTGACGTGTGTAGTGCGATTTCAGTGTCAAGTAAATACACAGATAACTCCTAACTGTGGATATTGATAAGAATATGAAGAGTGACGTGTTCTTGAGTGTAAACATTAATAAATACCACATAAAAAATAATATCCCATTGAACTTGTGGAATATAATGAGGTTGAAAAAAAAACTTACCTTAAAGAATCAGTCGAAAGTACAGGTAACTGACAGGTAAAAAAAAATGCAAATGTGTGTTACCTGTGGTGATTAATGGTGACTGTGAACACATTTATGGCTATGGTGAAGCCCAGGTGTTTGAGACGTGGTTCATTTTCCAATATTATCCAGGAGGTAAAATATCTATAGTAAAGTGTGTGTGTGTGTGTGTGTGCGTGTGCGTGTGCGTGTGTGTGTGTGTTTATCTTTAAGTAATCTTTATACCAGTAGTTTATATCGGTAATATATAGACTAATCATATATATATAGTCCTGTACTCTTATCTTTTAATAAGATTATCTGTATCTATACTTGGTATCTATGTTGTAGATGCTCTTTTGTTTTTTGTTTTGGTTTATGAATTTATACAATATTTGAGTGAATATAACACCGCAAGAGTTCAATGGCATTAAGGGGCGTTACTTAGCGTGGAAAGAAAG